CCCCTTCCTCTTGCCATGCTTGGCAGCCATCCAGAGGCTGCGCTGGAAGCCTGTCAGCCCCGAGATGGCCATGTGCATGCTCATAGTGTCCAGGAAACGCATCTTAGAGCCCTGGGACACAACAGGGGGAAGAAAAGAGAGGGTTTGGGAAATGCTGAAGAAGCTGCAAGTCCTCTGCTCAAGCTGCTTTTGTCAAGACAAGGCTTTGTCTCCCACATCCATCTTTTGAGAGCCAAGAGCACCCCCAGCACAGGCTGTCAGCTGCTCAAAGGCTCCTGCCACACCCCTAGCTGCCAACCTGCAGCCTCCAGCAGCCTTTAGCAGTCTTATAGGGTTCAAGAGTATCTCTCTCTAAAGAGATATAACCTCAAAGTACTCTGCAGGACAAAGTGAACACAACCCTGGGGTACCTGTGCAGAACAGCATCTGCAAAATAACACCCAGCAGCCATTGCAAACAGTTATCTCTGTCAGAAAATGCAGCTGCTGGGCATAAAGCAATGGCTCGGCAGTTCACCTGGATAAGGTACTGCTCCTTGATGAATGCCCGGTCGAAGGCCACGTTGTGCCCCACCACCACTCTCTCCCTCCAGTCCTCCTTGCCGGCACAGCTGGCACCTGCTGGGCTCTCCATGGGGATGAGGTCGGCCAGAGTGAGGTGGCTGGACCAGGAGTATCGCTGCTCCAGCAGCCGCCTGCTGCACCACGAGTACCTGCAGGGGACACGCAGCTGTAACAAATAAAGCAGGAGCTCCTGGGACAACAAGCACCTGCTGTGCTGTGGGGTGCTGAGCAGGATCCCACCCGTGGGAGAGAGGTGACACACCCTGGGGAGTGCTACACTTGCTAATCAGGACACACATGCCACATCCCAGAACCGTGCTATGGGGCTTTGTTGCGTTTTCCCTACAAGCCAGTGGAACTGCAAGAAAAGGCTCCACTCAGGAGCATCCCCATCCTCCCAAAGCTGTGTCTCCCCCGCTGCTGTGACTCCCTTATCACTGCTGGCACCATATCTCACCAGGCATTTGGCGAGACCACCACAGCCAGCGTCGGGCAGTGGCCATCAGCCACGCACACCTCCACGTCCAGCACCATCGCGCGCTCCTCGGGGAAGTCCACAGGCTCTGCTCGCCCGTCAGGGCTGTAGCGGGTCCAGCCCAGCTGCCATGCCCACTGGGCAGGTAGGGGGGGCAGCTCACACCGCAGCAGCTCGTTGGCCGCCTCCAAGTAGGGCAAGCTCTGTTTCTGCGCCAGGAGGCGAAAGTGCTCGTCGATGTTGTCCCCGTACATGCGGGGCAGCCGCAGGTCCACGTCGGGCAGCGTGGAGGTCTCCTTGCCCCACAGGTCGTGGCGCTGCAGGTGCTCCACGCTCCGCTGCACATCCGCCGCCGAGTAGCACACCTGGGCACCGCGGAAGATCTGCTCGTGGAGGGTCCTGGAGAGCATCTGGATGTTGAGGGGGTTCATGCGCCGCTGGCCCGTATTCTGGCTCAGCTCCTGTGGCAGCGGGCGGCTGGCCGAGGAGCTGGAGGGGCATCGCTGGGGCTGGGGGCTGCAGCCCCTCACCGACCGCCTCCAGGGCAGGCGCCTCATCGCCCCCTGCTCCGGGTGTGCCCCGGCTGGAGCTGCAGGGAGAGAAACGGCGCAGGGTGAGCTCGGCACTGACCACCACTGCAGGCCCCCCAGCAATGCACTGTGCAGCCATCCACCCCTCTGTACAGCGGGCACGGCTGTACAGCCACACCCCCTGTACAGCCGTGCCCCTATACAGCCATACCCCCTGTACAGCCACACCCCCTGTACAACCGTACCCTCTGTACAGCTGTACCCCTATACAGCCATACCCCCTGTACAGCCACATCCCCTGTACAACCGCACCTCCTATACAGCCACACCCCCTGTACAGCCGTGCCCCTATACAGCCATACCCCCTGTACAGCCACATCCCCTGTACAACCGTACCCTCTGTACAGCTGTACCCCTATACAGCCATACCCCCTGTACAGCCACATCCCCTGTACAACCGCACCTCCTATACAGCCATACCCCCTGTACAGCCGTGCTCCCCATACAGATGCTTCCCTCTCAACTCAGTCCAGGCTCCCACCTGGTCCCCTCCGCGCCTCTCGGGCCTGGCTCGGCGGGCAGATCCAAACCGGGGCGCTCCCGGCAGCTTCCGGCCGCGCTGACGTCCCGTCCCGTCCCGCCCCCTCCCGCTCCCGGCCCGGCCCGCCCGGGATTCGTTGAGTAGGGCACGCGGGAAGGCGGGAGTGGAGGCGGCCGCGTGGCCTAATGGATAAGGCGTCTGACTTCGGATCAGAAGATTGCAGGTTCGAGTCCTGCCGCGGTCGTGAGGCTGCGGCGCACTGGCGCCGTGTCTTTTTGCTCTCCCACTCTATGCAGTGGCCCCGCGGCTGCTGCGCCGCCGGTACCGGGGTCACTGCACCCGCCGGTCGGCGTTTTGCTCCTGTGTTCAACCGGAGCGCAGAAAAAGCGGGGGGCGGCTGCTGGGACCACGAGTCGGCAGGGCGGCCCCAGGTATCAGCCCTCGGTAGGGATGGGAGTGGAGCACTCTGTCATCTCAGATCTGCGGACACACGAGCTCCATCCATTTCCTCCCCTCTGCGCCCAGGGTGATGGGATCAGCACCCACCGCCCTGGTCCCTGTCATCCTGAGAGCCCCGAGCCTCACGGGGGGATTGGGAACAGCGTGGGGATCGGAGTCTGTGGAGCCAGAAGTGAGAGCTGGGCATGAGGTGTACGTGGGAACATCTCAGCCACTGGGGATGGAGCAGTCGCTGGAGAGGCAAGGATGAGCACTGGCTGTGGGGTAATGGGCTGTAAGGTGCAGGGAATGGATTTATGGCACAGGGAAGGGGATGTAGCGTGCAGGGAATGGGATGTAGGGTGCAAAGAGTAGAGTGTGAGGAATAGGATGCAGGGGATGGGTTGCACAATTCAGGGGAGAGGCCACAGGTGCAGGTAATGGGATTAGGATGCAGGGTATGGGTTGCACAGTTCAGGGGAAAGGCCACAGGTGCAGGTAATGGGATTAGGGTGCAGGGAATGGGATGCCGGAATCATGGAAAAGGCCACAGGCTGCAAGGAATGGGATGTAAGATGTAGGGAATGGATGCAGGGTACAGAGGATGGGATGCAGGGATTGGGAAAAAGGTCACAGGTGCAGGGGAGGGATTGCAGGGTGCAAGAAATGGGATGTGGGATGCAAGGAATGGGATGTAGGGTTCACAGAAAAGGCCACAAGTGCAGGGAATGGGATGCAGAGTGCAGAACAGGGGAATGAGTGCAAGGAATGAGATATAGGGTGCAAGGAATGGGATGTAAGATGTAGGGAATGGATGCAGGGTACAGGGGATGGGATGCAGGTATTGGGGAAAAGGCCACAAGTGCAGGGAATGGGATGCAGCGTGCAGGGCAGGCATTTCAGGGTGCAAGGAAAGGGGTGCAGATTGCGAGGGAAGGGAAATAGGAGGTGCCGAGGTCAGAGCAGGTGAGTGCAGGCTCCCTGGGCCCCGCAGGAGCTGTTCTGGCCGGGAAGGTGGGTTCTGGCAGAACGCAGCTCGGCCTTGGCATTGCCGGGCGCTGTGCCGGGCCGGGCCAGACCGAGCCGAGCCGGGCCGTGCCGGGCCGTGCCGAGCCGCCAGGTGGCGCTGCGGCCCCGCCGGTGCCGCCCGGGCCGGGCCGGGCCGGTCCCCGCGGGGCCGTCGGGGCGCGGACACCGCTCGGGTCCCGTCCCGCTCCGCGCTCCCCACGGGGCACCGGGCAGGGGCACCGGGTACTGTGACCTCCCCTTCGCCCCTCCCGGCCCCTGCGGAACTCCGAACCCGGAGTGCGGCTCCTCCCCAGTGCTCCAGCTTCACACCACCCTCTCCTTGTGGGTGCAGGATTGGGGGAGATGGAGGGTGAGGAACTGCAGCACCCCGTTCTCTGCAAAGGCAGAGCGAGCATGGGCGCGGTGTGGAATGTGAGAAACGCATACACACATGCACAGCGAGATCCTGTGTTCTGCGGCTTTTAATGCGTTTCACGGCCCCCCGGCGCACCCCAAAGTACCTGCTGGCCCCCAGCCTGAGATTCGATGGGGGGTTGTGCTTCACCCTATTTCACCTGGCAGCGGAAGGTACCCACTGCCTGAGCCTGGCAGGAGCCGGCCCCACAGGGGATGCCTGTCCTCGGCCACCTCCGCACCGGGAACTTAAGGCTTCCCGGTCCTTCGGCAGGAGTTTGGGGGCGCATGGGGTGCAGAGCCGGCAAGAGGGATGCTCCAATGCTGCGGGTGCTCTGGTCAGGAGGGAAAAGCCATGAGCTGCCCTGGGACGAAGCGAGGAAGTGTTTGGGAACCCCCGGCTACAGGGTGGCTCTGGGGAAGGACCTCGGTGCACTTGTTCTCCCTTCGGTTGCATTATATTAACACTGATTCCTCTTATTTGGGGTCTTTTATCTACTTATTTTTATCGGGGTAGCGAAAAATTAAATTAAAAAAAAATCCAACCCCTCTGCATCACAAAAATTCCCCCTCTCTCCAAAGCGGAAATAAAAAAAATTTAATTCTCCTCGAAATGCTTCTCGCGGCAGTGCCCTGGGGAGGGTTGATGACAACGAGCTCCGCTGCATTGTCCACAGGCAGGACCGGGCCAGTGCTGCCTATGGTTCACTCGGGTACAAGCAGAGAGGGAGGTTCGGAAATGCATAGCACCCCTGTATTAAAAAAAAACACCGCCGTAAACAACCCGAAATAACCTCAAAAATCCACCGTTTCAGCAGAGATGGCTGCAATGCATAAGTCGAAATGTGGTGTGTATAGTCTTTTTTTTTTTTCTTTCCTAGGCTTTTTGTTTTTCTGTCTGTCTGTCGGGGAAGCATCCCCGTCCCGGTGCGCCCCGTCGGGGTCGGGACGGGAGGTGGGAGATGCGACTTCTCCCCCACTTCTTGGAGACCCCACTCCCCGCCGGGAACTCGATGCTGTCGGTCGGATAATGGGGCGGTGGGACTTTGTTTAACCCCGTTGCCCCCGGGGCCAGGGGTCAAGGGTTTCCTCTTCCCCCGGGACATGGTAGAGAGGCCGTCGGTCACAACAGGAGGACCGCGGCGGGGAGGGGGATGTGACGGCCGCAATGTTCCCCCCGCCCCGCCGCGGCCCTGACGTGCGATCGGCGTTGGACCCCGTAAACCTCCACGTCTCCCCGGCGTCGAGAGGTTGAGGAAGGCTCCAGGTGGGTGTTTTGGGGGAACAAGAGGCGGTCAAACATCAGCACGGGACAGAGGGGCATGCGAAGAAGCGGCCCCTGCCCTACAGCAACCCCGGCTCTGCCTTCCCCTCCCAGGTGGAGCAGGACGTTTTTACCGGAGTGCCGGTTTTATCGGGGTTTCACCCCCTCCCTCCACAGGCAGAGATACCTCAGCTACCCCCCCGGAGCCAAGAAACGGGAGAGAAACGGGCAATTTTTATAGGTGACGTACGGGCTTACGTGAGAATCCGTGCCCAGCACTGCTCTTTCAGTTTTTTTCTCCTGAAATAACCCTTCCGTGCAGCTCGCACCTCCCTATTCCAGCTCGCACCCCCTTTTCCAGGCTGGGGGGAAATCGGGAGAGGGAGAAGCAAAAGGGAAAAGAAAAGCATCCCCCAATATCCCGGTTTTTTCCTGCTCGGGCAGCGAGCCCCGGAGCTCCCAAAGTGAGCGGCGAAGAGGGCGACGGGAGACGGGCAGGAGCCGGCTCCGAGGTGGAGGGGTCGGGGGTGGGATGAGGATAGGGGAGGACCGTCCTTTTCGGGATCAAGGGAGAACCAGCGAGGGAAGGAGGCTGGCGGCACCACAGGCATCCGAGGTAAGTCCCTCTCCCTCCCGCAGCGGTGGTACCTCAGCCCAGGCGCTGCTGCGGGGGATGCTTTGAGGGTTCAAAGGAGCCCGATCCCGGGGGATGCCCATCCCCGGGGCTGCTCCGTCCCAGCGAACGGGCCGAGCTCTGCGGGGCCCGGGCTGCTTTGGTGGCTGTGGTTTCTGTGGAGATTGGTGCCGGTTATCCCGGCCCGGGGGCTGCAGGCAACCCCTGCCCAGCGCCCTGCCCGCTCCCTCGGGGCTGGGCCGGGGTCCCCCCGGGCCGAGCAGCCCACGGAGCCCGCTCCCAGCCCCCGGGGCTCCTCCCGTGCGTGTCTCAATTCGCTCAGGCTTGACTTGGCAATAAGCTCTCTCAATAGGGTGACAATAGAGCCCCGGTGGGACCCGAACAAAGAATTTGAAAGTAGTTAAATTGCAGGACACGTCCATCGCCTGGGTGCTTGAATTAAAAAAAAAAAAAAAAAGAGAGAGAAAAAGAAAGAAAAAATCGGAGAAAAGAAAAAGGAGAGAGACTTTTCTTTGGGCTGGTGAGAAAATGCTCAGGGTAAAAGTTGGTTTGGCGTCTTCATTTCAGCGACAATGGAGCAGAGCTAATTCAATAGGAAACGCGGGGATTTTTTAATGAAAAGACCGCCGGGGTTACACCGAAGTTAAGCTCTTGTGAATTAATTATTAGGGCAAATAAACTGGGAGGGGGGGGAGAGCTCGGGAGGGAGTGTTGCAATTTCTTAATATTCTCCTTTTCGTGTTTAACGACAATGCCATTAGGTTTTCGACTCTGGGTGAGCAAAAGGATTTCTTACACTCTCTTGGAAGAGGAGAAGACGCGCTTTTTTCCCCCTCTCTTTTTCCTTTTTTTTTCTTTTTTCTTTTTTTTTTTTAATGGTGTTAATTGCTTTTAAAATAAAATACGACGGAATTTGGCAACGAGCTACAGTTTCTGCTGGCGGTGGCGTTTGGGGTTGTATTTCCTTTCGTGGCAACTCGCAGATGCAAAAAGGAAAATAACGGGGGAATTTAAATACATGAATATAAAGGCGAGGCGGCATGTTCGGCTGTTGCAGATCTCTCGGGCTCGATCGGTTTATTTTTTCCTACATAGAAAACCTGTCTGGGGATCCCTGTGTATTCATCGGGGCGGCGAGAGACTCCCCAGAGCCGCTCCGGGGCATCGGTGGAGTGAATCGGAGATAAAAAATAGGAGCCAGGTTTAACGCAGGAAGGAAGAGGAGGAGAGGTCGGAAGCGAAGTAAAGGTGTGCCAGGAGGGATTGGGGGGGGTGGTTGTGTTTTTGGGGGGAGGGCTTTTTTCGCCTTATAGCAGAGGCTGCAGGTGGTGCAGTGTGTGTGTGATTCTGTAAAGGCGGTGAGGACGATAGAAGCGGAGGGGAGCGGAGTGGGGACGCTCCGGCGGTACCTGCGTGCCCTCGTCCCGGTCCCAGCTCGCTGCGGCCGCTGCGCTGCGGCTGTCGGGGAGAACCGGGCTCCGGGGCTCGGCCTGTCCGTCGGGGAGAACATTGGCACGGCATAGCACGGGTGGGCCCGAAAAGACTCCAGGAAGGACCCCCTTTCCAGGGCCGGGGCCACGGCCCGGAGGCAGCCCGTGCCCTGGCTCTGCCCGACGGCCGCAGGCGGGCCGTGCCGTGCCGTGCCGTGCCGTGCCGTGCCGGACACTCGCGGGTCAGTTCAGCATTTGGACAGCGGTGTGGGGCCGGGGAGGTGGCCGCGGGGCGCTGGGAGGTGCCCGGGGCAGCGGAGGGCAGGGGCGGCCGCAGCCCTTTCCCTGTCCGCCGTGACTGGGGGCTGTTCCTCAAGGGAAGGGGGCACCGCCGACAGGGGGTCGAGCGGCGGGGGGGAGCCCAGCCCTGGCTCTCCCTCCGGAGAAGTGCACCCCAGAGCCGGGGCCAGAGTGGGGTGCCCGGTTGGGCGGCCAGGTAAGCCACAGCAGCCCCGCGGGAGTGGGTGGCAGAGGGGCTCACCGGGGGGAGGGAGGGGGTACACGGCCCCCCTCCCCCGGGCAGCCCCGTCCTCGGCGGGTAATTAAGGGGTGAGGCGGAGGGGCTGCGCTTTCTGCTCGGCGGAGCCTGCCAGCCACCAGCCCCCGCCGCCACCGCCGCCTTCCTCCCGTCCTCCTCCTCTCCCCCTCCCTCCCCCCGCCTCCTCCCCTCCCCCTCTCCCTCCTCCTCCTCCTCTCCGCCATGGTTGGAGTGAATAGGCGGCTGCCGGGCTGACGTCAGTGCGGGCAGAGCCTGCCGGCGGCGGCAGCTCCCGGCCAGCGACCAGAGCCGGCACCGGCAGCAGCCGGGAAGACACACGGAGCGCGGGCAGAGCCGCCTCCGCCACCCCCACCGACCCGCGCCCGGGGCTGGGGGCTGCGGGGGACACCGCTCGGCCGGGAGCAGCCTTGCCCGCCCCTCCGCCCGCCCCGGGGAGGGGAATGGCCCCGCCGCCCGCTTCGCCCGGGGACCACCGTCCTGCCCTCCGCACGGCAGCAGAGTGAGTGTCGCGGCCGGGCATCGCCGCTTCGGCGGGGCGGCCCCGGGGAGGCGGGAGGGCGCCAGGGGAGACGTTTGCTCCGGGGGGGATACACCAGCTGCCGGAGGGGGAGGAGGGAGGCAGGGAGAAAGGGAGGGGGGAGACGAAGTTGGATCGGTCCCCACCGGAAAGTTGGGCGCCTTCAGGTGCCGGCACCACGCAGGACCGGGACCGCCCCGCGCCGCGCCGTGGCCCCGGCTCACCCTTCGCGGGGGACGAGTGGGAGACACGGGGGAGCTTTTGCTGCCGGAGACGCGTTTGCTCCGGCAGCCTCTCCCCGTCTGCCTGGGACATTGGAGCGCGACAGCAGGGCCCGGGGCGGGCTGAGTCCCGACGGGGCGGAGGGGAGCCCGGGCCGAGCACTGCCGGGGTGCTGCCGAGTTGCCCCCAAATCTCTCCGTTCGCCGGCCGGAGAAGCTGCATCGTATAAAACGCTTTTATGAGGCCGAGCCTCCTTGGGCATTCAGGCTTTAGGCCGTGGGAGAAATCTCGGGTTCCCGGGGAAGTTCTTCCTCCCGATGCAGCGGGTACTGCTGCTGGGCCTGTTTTTCGGGGGGAGGAGGGGGGCACAGGGGCGTCTCGCTCCCCTGCTTGGATTTACCGCCGAGAAGCAGCAGCGTGGCTACCGCTACTCGTGTACAGCTTCTGATGCTGGAGGATTTATTTCATTTTTCATTTGCTGTATCCCTTTTCTTTGCTTTTTTTAAAAAATACATTTTATTTCATCCCTGATTATTATTTTTATTTTTCTTTTTTTTTTGTTTTCTTTTTTTTCTTTTTTAATTTTTTTTTCTCACATTAATTCTTCCCTTCTGCTCCCTGCCTTTCCGTGAATAATTATTTCCTTGGGGTTTGTTGTTTGCTTTTTGTGTTTTGTTTTGCGCTTTTTTTTTCCCGTATCACCCTGGAAGTGAAACGCATTTTAGGCCTCAGCCTTAAGGAAACCCGAATCATAGCAGTGCAGGTGGCCTGAGAGCCCGTACCTGGCCGGATCCCCTCGACGTGCCTCCACCCCCGGCCCCCGGCCGCGCAGCACCTCGCCCCGCCGAGTGAGGAGGGTCCGGGACAGTCCCCGCCTGGGCCTCGGCCCCGACGGTCGGAGAGAAAAGAGCAGCCGGGGGTGAGACGCCGCCGCTTTGCCTTTTCGGCGCCGGGGCTTGCTCAGAGGCGGCTTTTAATTGCTAAGCAAAGCGACGCGTTTCCCTCACGCCCGTCGGGAGCTGCCGCTTCTTTGCCAAGCCCCGATGGTGGGGAGAAAAGAAAAAAAAAAAAAAAAGAAGCACAACCCCAAAAAACAATTAGGAGAAGATGCAGCTCGAGGCGGCGAGGCGCGGGGGGTTACTCCAGGTTGGCTAAAAATAACTTCTCCTAATTAAAGAAAAGTGACGTCAGACGTGCAGGACGTAGAAGAGGGGAAGGCAGCGGACTCTTTACTGGGCGATCACGTTAAATAATTCAGGGGCGGCCCGGTGACCGGGCTCTTCCGAGGTGCGGCCGACGGGGCCTCTTGCCTTGCCCGGCGCGGGGTCACGGGAGGAGGGAGCGGGCGGCGGGACCGTCCTGCCCGCGGGTGGACGCGGAAGGCCCGCGGGGCCCCGGGGCCGGTGCAGCACCATGGCCAGAGCCACGCCGGCACCGCCGCCCCTCCCCGTCCCGTCGGGCCGCGAGGGTTGTTTCCTCTCATGAGTGCGTGCAGAGGAAGGACGGTCCTGCGGCCCAGGTGGGCGGCTCGGGTGAGGCAGCAGGCGGACTGGCTCCGGTCGATGCCCGCTGCAGCCACCGGAGCTCCGGAACACGGGCAGCCCTCGCTGCATCCTCCCCAAGATGCTCGCTAGTGCTTTGCCCTGTGCCAAGGAGCCATTTTGTAGGCATCCTGCTAAAACTGTACCAAAAAAGAGTCCCAACCTCTCCTTCCCCCTCCGCAAAAAAAACCCTAAACCCAACAAAATAGCAAAAAAAACCCGCAAAAAAACCCACAAAAAAACCCCAACAAAAACAAACAAACCCCCCCAAAGAAACAAAAAAACCCAAACCCAAAACCCAAAGCCTAAAACGAACCAAAATACTCCAAGTGCCAGGTATTTTCTCCTAGGTGCTGGGGCTCTGCCTGCACGGAGAGGGTCAAGGCGAGAGCTCCGAGCAGATCAAGGCATTGCCGGAAAGGATAAGGGAAAAAATATTATCCTATATATTTCTCCCAAGAAAATCACCTCCTTTGAGCGGCAGAGAGAGGGGATCCCGTCTCCAGCCCCGAGCAGCCCGGCGAGGTGCGGTGGTTCACCCGCAGCATCCTCGCCTGAGCGATACGGCGTCCCAGGGTTTCGGCGCGGCGGGCGGGAGATCTTGCACGGCGGCAGCCGGGCAGAGCTGCGGCTCAGCAGGGCTGGCTCTGCCCTCCCGGGCCCCCTCGCCGCTGCCGCAGGGGTGGCGGGGCTGGAGAGGGACCTCATCGCAGCCAGAACGGCCCCGGGAGCGGGAGAAGCTGCCGGCGGCGCCCCAAGCTGCTCCCCGCCACCGCGGTGAGTACGGGGACCTCCTCCATGGGGGGAAACCGAGGCCGGCCCCTGGGCCCCGTGCCCGCTTGTACCGTCCCTGCGCCCCCGGGCCGCCCTCGGAGGCGGTGGGGTGCATGAGCGCCTTCCCCCGCCCCAGCCGCGAGCACACCGACAGCGACCACCCTAACAGCGAAACCGATAAATTAAGAGAAAATCCAAGGCCCGAAAATTAAGGAGATCCGATTCGTGGCAATTTTTTCCCCCCTGTCTCCGGGGCAGATTAAAATAAACCGCGGCCAAACCCCCTCCCGAGCGCCTCCGGGCCGCGGGGAAGGCAGTGAAGGGTTGGGGACGGAGAAAATATTTCTCTCCACCTTCCCCAGCCCCGTGGGGGCGGCCGGAGCACCCCCGAGCCCGTTTCTCGTTAGGCAGGAGGCAGGAGGGAACCTGCAGTTCCCGGGAGCCGGGCAGGGGCGGCCGGGCTCGCCTGGGCGCGGGGAGCAACACCGGCTCGCGAAGGGCTGGCAGCCCTCGTCCTTTAGCTTTTAGCCTGATTGAGATCGTAGATTTTATTTATTTAATTTTTAATTTTTTTTTTTTTTAAGGGGATGGCGGGGAGGGGGAGGGCGAAGAGAGGCAGAAATAAATAACCCGAGCAGAGCTCACCGGGAGCCGGAGCCGGCGGGACCGGCAGGCAGCGCTCTGCCGCGGCTGCTCCCGCCGCGATCGCTTCGTTTCGCGGATCCCTCGTTTTGTAGCAGGTCACATTTTACTCTTGTCTGGGATTTAAAGGAAGGCGATGTTCAGAAGCAGCGATGGTTACAATTTTTTTTTTTTTTTTTTTATGAGGAGCAGGTCAGTTAAGCACCCCAGATAATCATATTTACCTCCTGGCATTTTAGTCTGATTATTGATGCTGTTATTATTTGTACGTGCCAAATTCGCCGCTACATGCGTATCGCGTTATGAATCTGTGCGGGAAATAGCAGACCGTGGAGGGGAAATAATTTAAACGGAGGGGAAACGAGGAGCAGAGAGGATCGGTGGGGGATCGCGGGTGCGTCCCCAGCCCCCGGGACACGTCTCGGGACGGGCGGGCCCCGCGTTTGGCTGGGCGAAAAGGGGCCCTTCGGGCTGCCCCCAGGTGCGGAGCCCGGACGGGGAGGGCATTGTTTGGGGAGGAGAAGGTGTGAGGGAGGTGCGCTGAACGTGGAGGCAGGGGAGGGGTGACCATGGCGAGGAGAGGGAAAAATGGGAAAAGGGAGAAGGGGTCGGGAATAGGAAAAGAAAATGGATGGAAAGAGAAAAGGTGGGGAGAAAGGAAAGGCCAGGGAAAGAGAGAGCGCAAATGGGAGAGGGGAAGGGGAGAAGAAAAAGAGAGAGAGGGGAAAGGGAGACGGAGACCTGAAAGGGAGAGAGAGGAAAGAGAGAGAGGGGAGTGCCTAGGACAGGGAGAGGGAAGTTAGTTGCGGGTGCAGGGCCATGCAGGGGTGGGTGCTGCCTGCCTCTCCCGCTCCGCTGCCGGCCCTGCGAAGCTGCTGCGGGGGCACGTAGGGGCGGGAGGAGGCGGGGGGGTGCAGAGCGACCCTCGGCGCAGCCCCCCGGCAGAGGCCGGGCGGGAGGAGAGCGGCCGGTCCCGCCCGGTGCCGTGTCGTGCCGAGCGGTGCCGAGCCCGCCCCGTCCCATCCCATCCCACCCCGAGCCGCTGGAAAGCCCATCCCGTCCTGGAAAGCGCGGGAAAGGGGGCGCTGATTTAAATGAGGGCCCGGGGATTGGCTGGGCGCGGCGTGACGTCACTTCCCAAAGGGGGCGATTACCATGCGAGGGGAGTAGAAGTTGGGCAGCGGGGCGGGAGCGCGAGTGGCGCTCGTCGGGCCGGGCCGGCGGGATGGGCACCGACGGGCTCGGATCGGCCCCCGCGACCCTGCCCTGCCCTGCCTTGCTTTGCCTTACCCTACCCTGCCTGGCTCGGCTTGGCTCGGCTCCGCTCAGCGCAGCCCGACCTGTCTCGGTACGGCGCGGTTCGGCTCTGAGCCCCCGTGGCTCTGCCCCGCTTCTCGTTCTCTCCGCTTCGTATTTATCTTTCTCTCTTTCTCTTTCTCTCTCTCTCTTTTTTTTTTTTTATTTTTTTTTTTAATTTTAATGTGTGTGTGGTTCCCGGTGGCAGCTCCCGGCCGCCCTGCCCCGGCCGTGCCCGCATCCTGGAGCGGACGGACGGACGGACGGACAGATGGCCGGCATCCCCGACGGAGGGATGTTTCTGTCTTTGGTTATCTAGCTGTATGAGTGTTGTGGAGCCATCATAAAGCTAGATAACCGAAAGTAGAAATGACTTCCAGACCTGCTCGCCCGGGGGAAGCGGCCGCACCAGGACCGGCGGTGCAGAGACGGCCCGACTCGCCGCCTTGGGGCTCCAGGTAAGGGCTGCGGCTCCGCGCCCTCCCCGTCGGGCCGCTCCGGGCAGACCGGGGCTCCGCGGCAGCAGGCGGGAGGGACGGGGACAGGGGGGCGAGCCCTGCGCCAATTCTTCCATTGCCAAAGAAACCTGGGGTTTAACT